AAATGTATCGGAGCTATTTGAATTCTTCACAGAATGCTATATTTTTATAGCAATATGGATGAGATTGTGGGTTGGCATACCCTGTCAAATGCGGCTTTACGGAGCTCAACGGCTCTGAATGGCTCTAGCCCAAGCTGTGATATAAACGAACGCTATTGGCTATTTTAAAAAGGGGCGGAGCTGCTTGATATGTCCCGCCCTGTCTTCCTGTTTCAGTTAAAATGACGTCAACGCAGAGTAACGCTGCGTGTTTCTAAGCATTTCAGGGGACCTTTAACACCTAAAAAAATGTGTTTTAGGGTCTCATGACACTTTAAGCAATTCGGTAGATGTTGAAAATCAGAAACCATCATGCAGTGCCAATTCATTTATTTGAACGATGGTGCTGACCGATACTGAGAGAATGAAAGAACCGGGCGGTTGTGGGAAAACCTCAAAAGATTAAAATGATTCCTGGGTCATCCTAATTCACAACGTTCACAATAGAGCGAGCCTCTCACCCACTCTCTCTTAAACACCCTGCAGATGTTGTAGGCTTGATGTGTCCCAGACGTGCAGCGGTCTCTTACCGTAAGGTCTCCAGGTGTAAGAGCACTTCTCTCCTGTAGTTCCACAGCGTGGCAAAGTCCGGGTTTGAGGACAGGAGCTGCCGAGTCAACTGCAGAGCCTCCTCGTCATGTTCCCCAGCACTCCTCTGGGACACAGAAACTATTACAGGCTTCAGCCCCAAACCTGACTTCATGCAACACACAGCACACCACACAACAAACCTTTTTCAAGACGGCATCGCGAGCAGACACAAACGCTTTCAACTTCTTCTCTCTCTCCTTCCTCTTCTCCTCCTCCTGCTGCGCGGTCGACTTTATCTTCACCCGTCCGTGCTGACAGGAACACAGAAAGAGACAGATGCCGGTAACACTTTAGAATAATGGTCCGTTGTTAACAAGTAACTATGCAGGAAGTAATAGGTAGTACTACATTAACACTTAACTTAATACTATTAACTAATAGAGGAGCACGATTAACTAAGCAGTAAGTAGTAGCAGATTTAGGACAAAGGTAGTTACTTATTAGGTATTTGATAATTACTAAAAAAATATATCCTCATTGAGAACTACTTGGGAACTACGACCAATTAATAAAGAATAACCAATTAATTACTAATCACAACAGTAACGTCTTAAAAGTGAACAATTGGGCTCTTTGTGGAAACTCATTTATGAATATGATATCCCCCAAATAAGTCGGCTACAGGTTGAAATTGTGACTACTACTCTTACCAAAGGATGTTCTGTTTATTTCAAACTAAAAATTTAAATAAAAAATATATATATATATATTTTAAAAATGTTAATAATTAGGAAGTGATTGAATTAGTTCACAATTATGAGCTCTAGTTTGTGTCAGTTCAGTATGTCTCTGACTCCAAAAGACCTATAACTATAGTGACAGCAGGCTGGGGAGGACTTTTCTTGAATATAAATAATGAAGTTCTCTTGACAAAAACAGTTCACATCCTTAATGAAGGCATCGACTGCATTTATATTGTGTTCAGCACAAAACCGCATATTGCAGATTACAGAGTCTGGCAAAATACCACTAGTGCCTCACACAAATATATGTATCAGATATAAAATATGTTAAATAACTTATTAAATTACTTAGTAATTACTGAGTGGTTAAGGTGTTTTTCACTTGAAACTAATGGTCCAGATCACTAGTAGTTCCTGCAGGCTGACAAGGTAACGCTTGAGTAATTAGTGAGGGGTTAATGCATTTTTCACTTTAAAGCTACTTTAAAGTGCTACTAAGGAACTACTAGTGATCTGGACCATTAGTTTAAAGTGAAAAACACCTTAACCACTCAGTAATTACT